TGGGTACGCATAGTACTAAGCATAAACTTTGTGCTTGATAGTGAGGTGACTAATTCCCACTCACTCACTTAAATGGTCCTTACTTGAAAATTATCACCCATTAATTATCCAACCTCACTATCAAGCACAAAGTTTGTGCCTAGTACTAAGCATACTCATTTCTCTCTCTCCCTCCCTCTCTCTATATAGATGTATGTATTATACTATTTCAATGGATGATCCGCTTCATTCATTATGATCTAAATGTTTCAAAACATCTATAAAATAATAATCATGATGTTTCAATACTTCTAACACATAATTCATTATCTCTAGTTGTATTATTATAAAATCATTAATTTTACAATCACTTGATACATGAGTAACTATAACCCAATATACCTGATTTTTTATTTGCATAAAATCCAAATATATAAAATTGAAATAAACAGAGTGGACATAGTAAATTGATTGCATATATACATATATATCCGTGTGTGTGCGTGCGTGCGCGTGTGTCCAACGTGCTTAGTGAAACAATCCTAATTATATATTAAATATTCAAATTTGTGAATTTTGCATAGTGACACAATCTTATTAATTGTTGCTTCGGGTCGCACACATAATAATAATGTGCTTTATAGTCTCGATGAAAAGTAACCAAAATCTAATTTTCTTTCTTGCGATGACATTGAATATTTACCGGTTGGAAAAAAAATAAGTAAAATAAACATTTAGGACTGCCATTTGATAACTCTACCAATCACATGCTACTGAACCACTAATTACAAGGGAATATAACCTCATTGCCTAACAAGGAGGGTGGATAGCTGAAGTGATCGAATACAATCCAAATATACCATGTAATTTCTATGTTGATATGAACACAGTTTTACCAGTTAATACAAATGAGATACTATCCCCAGTTGTAATCAAAACAATTGAAATCTCAAGCCAATGCTTTCACTATCCAAAAGAGCAATGATCATGATTCTCTTCTCAAAGGGCACCGATAGACTTGTTGTCTGCTATTGGATTTCTTTGGGTCAGTTTGTCAACTTAGAAACTAACTTGATTTAGTTTTGGACTGGTTATACTTAGCCTGGACTGGGTTAAACTAGTCTTCGTTAATTTTGAGTTGAACTTAGTTTGGCTAATTTTTAAACAAAACCGCTCTAGAGGTTGAGAAGAAAGATGAAGGAGAGGGAGCAGGGGTGAGGGCGAAGGAGAACCCCCTTTCCCACTACTTATTTAGGTCCAGACCCAACCAGTTCTATTTTATACCAGGGAGGACTTGGTTCTTTTCTCCATCTTTCTTACTTGCCAAACTAGAGCTGAAGTGTCGGACCAAACTTGTAGCAAATACAACCAGTTCAGTCAGTTTGCCAAACAGGCCCTCTCTTTCAAAACACTAGAAAACAGGCCAATCCGAACTCTTTAATCATGGCATTAATCAAACTTAAAAAGGTTTAACTATTACATTAGATCGTGATGCCTATAAATTAAGAAGTAGGTAATACTCCTTCAGCGCATCAATCAGCCACACTTCACGGATAAAGCTCCTAATTTTTTACTTGTTATCCAGCGATACTATCTCCAATTCTCCATCATAAACGGGCCGTCTTTCTTCTCAAATAATGATCCTCCCGTCAAAGAACCAGATGATTCTTTCGAGATGGCAAAAACAGTAATGAGTCCTAAAGCAAAACGATAGCAAAGTATGAAACATATAATTATATTTTACATTACGTCCGCAAATATCTAAGCAATCTAACAAATGAAACTAGCTTACAGATCAGATTTAAATCAAACTTCATAAAAAATAAGCAGATCAATGAGGAAAAAATGAATCAGCTAAAAAAATGAGAGAGGATCTGATCAAAAAAAAAAAAAACACTAGATCCATCAATGTAATCGATAGAGATCAGATCTAAGAGCTTGCCTGATCTGAGGAATGCGGATTCGGATGACCTGAGGAGGTTGAGGCTCGATCGGAGACCGCTATTGAAAGCCATCGCTTTGTTGACGTTTTCTTCGAATGATTCCGGCGTGCCCTAGACTTTTTGATTTTATAAAGAGATCGTCGGAGTTTGTGGAGTGGTCCGCAGGATTAGGTTAAGCTTAAATGGTTTTTTTGAGATGGGCTGGCAGCCTGGCACTGTAGTAAACCGTGACCTACGGCCCAATTATCATGATAGTCCCTTTAAAAGCATTGAGTTTGAAAAAAAAATCTTTCGATAGATGAAAATATCCTTAAAATTCAAATAATAGTCTATTAAGTAAAAGTAAGTTGATATTGATGAATTCTTATTGGATATGCACAGCATGAAGATAATGATATAGATTAAATTAAAATGTAAACCTAAATAAAATTATTTAATGCCAAATTTACAAATGTCTATAAGATGAAGGGCTTATATGCAAAAACTAAATAAAATTAATGAGATAAATAATGTTTGCCTCAAAGGTAAAATCCAGGAACAGTAGAGGCCTACAAATGTATATAATGTGGACATGATATTTGTAACCTGAGGACACAACGTGTAACATCACATACCAATAAAAAAAGTCATTCTCAAAATTATAAAAAAGAAAAATTAAAATAAACAGTTGCAACCTGAGGGCACAACATGGCGATCTCTCACCGACTAAATTCAAGTAGTTCACAGTACTATATAATTAGTTTCAAAGTCTAATCATACTATTATTATTTGCATAGAACTCTATTTATAATTGTTATCCTCTCACATGCAACATCACATACCAATATATATAAGCCAAGAAATTATAATAATTTTCATAGTACTTTCATCTCCTTCTATATGTATGTTCCTTTGTTATATTCTTCTTATTAGATTAGATTAGATTATTTTAAAGCAATTAATTGTATTGTATATTTAATCTTTTTTCATATTAAGAAATAACAATAATTTTCACAGCACTTCAATCTATTTTCTTCTTATTAGATTAGATTAAATTATTTTAAAATAATTAATTATATTGTATGTTTGATTTTTGTCAGATCCGAAATTGTAACAATTTTCATAGCACTTTCATCTCTTTCAACAAATATATGTCTTTGTTATTTTCTTCTTATTGGATTAGATTAGATTGTTTAAAAATTATGAATTATAAAATTGTAATAATTTTTACATTACTTTTATCTATTTTCTTCTTATTAGATTAGATTTGATTATTCTAAAGCAATTAATTATATTGTATATTTGATCTTTTTTTCAGATCATAAAATTTAATTATTCTATTATTATTTAAATAGATATTGTTCGTATAAAAGTCAAAGAGAATCGCACACGTATCTTAGATCTCAATGCTATTTGACTTGTCCTACGGCTTCGTATGTACACTTGCCCAAATTAGCGTGACCTGTCCTCACGTCCTTTAAACTCGTGGACATGATTTTTATGGAACACATTTGCTATTCTCTGTCTGATCCTATTGAAGATCCCTAACACCGTCAAATCTTGAATGTCATTGATATGCTCATTTATATCAGCCTCAATCTCATCAAAAGCATTGATCTGCGATTTAATCATATATACACAATTTAGCAAACAATATCTTAATAAAAAAAGAATTATTTCTTTAATTTAGTTTAAAAACTTACATAATTTCTCTTGATCATGACACTAGGGATGTAACTATTTATCGATGGGCGTGGTGCGCATCTAGCTGCTGGTTGTGGGTTGCGTCCTATCCATCTGCGTGTATAACCATCAACTGGAATTCTCTCATTCTGTATGAAATTCCACCTATTATTCCATCTATCTATGTAGGCAACATGAAATATGGCCCAGTCCGTACGATGCAATGTCATCCGTCGCCTACGATTGATTTGCTGAACAGGATCTAGCACATGCTGAAAGAGAAGAAACTGTCGTAACACACGATCTGGAAAATGTATCTCTACAATCTCCTAACATATCAATGGGACTCTGGCTCTCCACAAAGCAACACTATCTTTACAGATAGGTACAAGAGTATGCATATTGAGATCTGGCGGAGAATAGGTCGTCCACTTGAACTGAAATTTAAAAAAAAACTTTTATCAGTTTCTACAGGAAAGTTAAAATATTTATAATGAATTGAGTTTTTATATTTACCTGTTGGTATTGGAGGCCATTAAGCTAATTTTGGTAAAACTCTATATGTCTAGTCGATGTTTTGTATTTGGAGTGCCTCACGTTATACCTATTTGGCATAAAGAATATATGAGAATAAATTCAATATAAATAAAATTTATGCATAATTATACATGTATCCCAAAGGAAACTGGCTCTGTAGATCGCGGTGCACATGCAAAGTAGTTCGTCCAATATGAATGCATTCCCATGATCAAACCTGGATTAATGTCATGCATCAATTGAATTCTCTATAAAGGTATGCCAAGACTACACTACCCCATGATAGAGTACTACATATATCAAAATCCTCGAGTAGTGACAACCATCGTACATGTGCAAGATTCTTGCTCGCATCAGGAAATAACATACACCCTATCATGTGCAACATATAAGCATGAGCGTAATACCGAATTGTTTCATCTGTGGCATCAACTGGTATATCTCCCATAAATGTCGATCGAATCCACGATAGCTTCATCGCACCACTCCTCAAATCGGGAACTTACCCAAGAAGCTTCTCATATACTTCAGGCTAATTATGGTCATCGGTGCCCGTAATAATCGGGCCATCGATGCGGAGCCCAAGTATGATGGTTACGTCCTGAAGTGTAATGATACACTCCCCTATATGCATATGAAATATGTTGGTCCCCGGTCTCCACCTCTCAATCAGTGCACTGATAATGACATAGTCAAGCCTAATATATCTCATCGATGAACACTCCAAAAACCCGGCATGAGCTACCAACTGTAGTACTCGATCATCCTCCATCTCCTAGCCCGAGTGACTCTGGGAATGGTCCACTATGTTGATTTCTGCTATGAGCTGTACATTAATCAAAATTGATAAAATTTAATGAGAAAAATTGAAACTAGTGCTAAAAGTAAGGAATATATATACAACATTTGTTTACCTGTCCCAAGCCAATCTTGTGTGAACGATGATCTATCTGAAGGTATAATACGTCGGGCCGCATCGGTCCTGGATCCATAATAGATATCTCTGAGATTAAAATACAATATGTTAGATTTTTTAGTTGAATGACTTAATCATATGTATTTTGATGGCCAAAATTAAGTAAATTAAGAATACATCCAGCATAGAAAAGAAAAATAAGAATAGAACATGCATGACGATTGTCACATATTCAAGATTCAAAATAAAAGGTTATATATTACAAAAACGATTGTCACATATTCAAGATTAAAAATAAAAGGTTATATATTTCAAAAACCATAAGCAATACATTCCTATTTAGAGGACAAGCATTGAATATATTATATTTATTTTTCTCTCTGTGTTTGTTTGTATCCAACATACGGATACTATGAATCCAGAACTAGAAACTTAAAAATCCAAACAAACTACTTAGAAATAAAGTTTTAATATTGAAACCATTTTACCTTGCCATGCTATATATCCTCAACTAATCCAAACTCACAATTTGGTACTCGTCAGCTACTTGGTACAAAGGAAACAAATCGTGAATCGTTAGAATCGATTTAGCAAGTACCGTCAAAGGAGTACAGAATTTAAAGGACGATAAGTGGATGAGATAAATCCACTATAAAGAAAGTAAGATAAAACGAAAGGAGATAAAACCTCGAAAGGCAGTGAATAATGTAAATAAGACACATGATAGTAAAACATATAGACAGAAGTATGCATAGTGGGAAAGATGAGGGAATTCATAGATTTCGCTACTCGGTATATACTCCACTACTATATATGTTGGTCTACTTGTACTTCTATGGCGATGCCATATTTCTGTTGTGCACAGCAGAAATTTCGGCAGAGTTTCTGGTGCACAATAAGAGAGAAAGATCGATAAGAATTCTTGTTTCTCAAAGGGAACAAGAATCTGAAGTCTAATATCTCATCAAAGTGGGATATTAGCTCTTCCTCTCGTCAGCTCTAGGACTGCGCGTCAAGGGATCCTAAAAACTATTACAATGGCCACAAACTCAAACAAACCAATTTTACGTGGTTTGGCAAACTGCCTACATCCACGGGGCAAGGAGGGGGGGATCTACTATTAAAGAAAAAAAAATACAATGGGTTTACAACTCTCACAATCTAAACCCTCAAATAGGCTCATTGCTTTTCTTCACATTTGAATTCATTTGTAACGTTTGAAGTTTAATGAAATCAATGATGAAGGCAACTTTTGACGAAAACAAATCTAAACCCTCAAATAGGCTCCTTGCTTTTCTTCACAAGAAAAGGTCAGCCTCCAAATACTTTTTTTTTCTTCACGAAACCCGAGACAGTCACCTCTCTCTCTCAGCCGACTTTCCTCCCTCTCTCTGCACTTGTGCCCAAAGAAGAAAACTCAGCCGCCTAATCACAATCTAAACCCTCAAATAGGCTCATTGCTTTTCTTCACAAGAAAAGGTCAGCCTCCAAATACTTTTTTTTTTCTTCACAAAACCCGAGACAGTCACCTCTCTCTCTCAGCCAACTTTCCTCCCTCTCTCTGCACTTGTGCCCAAAGAAGAAAACTCAGCCGCCTAATCACGTCCCCTGCCTTCGCTCCTTTTCACCAAGCCCTAGGAACTCATAAAGAGATATATATATGGGAAAAATGCTTCCAGCCCCCAAAAGCCAAGTGAACGTGCTTCCTACCCCCAAGACTTGGTCAATGGGTGTTTTACCCCTAAAAATAAAGATTGTGTTCTCTGAGCCCCCAAAACACAAAACCCAAGACATTAAAACATGCGAAGACCATAATTTATTAAAATATGATGAGGATTATTTTATTATTTCTCTATCTCTCTCTCTCTTTATCATGATGTACCAAGAGGATAGTTGAAATGATTGATGAGGATTATTTTATTATTTTTGTTTTTTTATTATTTTCGTTGTTTGTATTGGGAGGTTGTTAAAGTTACGGGTTGATTGATAAGGTTACGGGTTGGTTGTTAAGGTTAAGGGTTTGTTGTTAAGGTTATGAATCCTCTCTCCCTCTTTCTTTTTTTATTAAAATATGATGGGGATTATTTTATTATTTTTGTTTTCTCTCTCTCTTTATCA